CGTGCACCCGGGATTCTCCTCAGCGCCCGCAGCCCCGCCCCGCGCCACCCACCCGCAGCGCGCGCCCGGAATTCTCCTGTGACGGACCAGGCCGGGTCTGGGCACTGCTGAGGGCGTCCGCTCAGTGCGAATGTCTCAAAATCAGGGTTGCTTACAGCCCCAGACTGGAGACTTTTCCCAAACAGGCCACAAACCAGTCACACCGAGCACTTCGGCTGCCAATCCAGCCAGCAGGAAGCCTCACAAGCAAAACCCTTCAGACATGCTGGCTCTCCCTGTGCCACAATCAGCCCCGGGCTTTACACACAGGTGAGGGGTTCTAGAACTCGATCTCACCTACCCCGAACGGGTTCTCCCGGTCCCAAAGAACCAGCCACAGATCCCAAATCAATTTACACTTTAGATCTTACCCACAAGATCACGCTGGGCCAATCCTTTAGCATCTAAAATCTAAAGGCTTATTAATAAAAGAAAGAAAAAAGTATGAGAGTAAGGTTGTTAAGGAGAATACATGACACACACCAATCTCCAAGTTCTTGATGCCGGCTCTCAGCAGAGATGTTACAAACTGCAATCTTAAACGTCTCTGGTTACATCCTCTGTCAGGATGGGTCAAGAATCCTTCCCGGCTTTCTGTCCCTCGCAAGGCTGCATCTAAGATCAGTAGCAGAATTGAAGGCAAGATGGAGTTTGCCTCATGGCATCTTATATCGTTTCCTGGTACCTTCCAAGCTGGAGCGAGTCACATGGTCAAGTGATCTGTCTGTGTTTCACATACTAGCAGCCATTATGCCCTGATTGGTTGCAGGTTTCCAGTTGCATTCCTCGGGTGTGAATTGGCCACCTCGAGAGCCATTGTCCTTAGGGCCCTGCTAGTTAGCATAGTCATTCATGGGACAGTCCTTCCTTACAGCAGGCAGTCCCAGCATTGCTCTGTCTCAGGCAGAGAACATTCACAGCACCAGCACAGAGTCCATATTCGTAAGTCCACATACAAACATCACACAAGTACATGAGTAGTATGCATAGAATCAGTAGAACACAAGCTTTCATTTGACACCTCACATGGCCCCCTTTGTACAGACTCTGGGGCAAACACCCCTCCCCCGCGGGTACATAACGTGACAGACCTCTTTAATGAAACCAACACAGATCTCTGCACCTCCCACAAACAGGCTTACGCTCCTGAATATTTCAACTCCGCTTAGTTTCCATGACAAGCACAGTTCTAGCCTGCATGACTTCCTCGTGCTACAGCCATATGAAGTTTGGTATTGTTAATGTTACCCCAATTTCGCTGGAGACCAACCCAAGGTTACATTCATAGGGTATGTCTACACTACCCCGCTAGTTCGAACTAGCGGGGGTAATGTAGTCATCCGCACTTGCAAATGAAGCCTGGGATTTGAATTCCCCGGGCTTCATTTGCATGAAGCCGGCCGGCGCCATTTTTAAATGCCGGCTAGTTCGGACTCTGTGCCGCACGGCGGCACACAGCACGGACTGGCTAGTTCGGATTAGGCTGTATGCCTAGCTTGTACGCCGGCCGGCTTCATGCAAATGAAGCCCGGGAAATTCAAATCCCGGGCTTCATTTGCAAGTGCGGATGACTACATTACCCCCGCTAGTTCGAACTAGCGGGGGTAATGTAGTCATCCGCACTTGCAAATGAAGCCTGGGATTTGAATTTCCCGGGCTTCATTTGCAAGTGCGGATGACTACATTACCCCCGCTAGTTCGAACTAGCGGGGTAGTGTAGACATACCCATATGGATTTATTACATGAGGAATTAACAGTCCACTACAGGGTTAAACTCATGGGGATTGAGCTGTCCTTGAATGTCATTATAGGGTTAAACTGAAGGTGAGTGAGCTATCTCCCTCTCTCTCTCACACACACACACACACACACACACACACACACTCATTCATGCTCTCACAAAATGCAGGACAATGTAGCACTTTAAAGACTAACAAGATGGTTTATTAGATGATGAGCTTTCGTGGGCCAGACCCACTTCCTCAGATCAAACAGTGGAAGAAAATTGTCACAACCATATATACCAAAGGATACAATTAAAAAAAGGAACACATATGAAAAGGACAAATCACATTTCAGAACAGAAGAGGCATGGGGGAGGGGAAGGTAAATGTCTGTGAGCTAATGATATTAGAGGTGATTGGGGAAGCTATCTTTGTAATGGGTAAGATAATTAGATTCTTTATTCAGACTCAGGTGTAAAGTGTCAAATTTAAGCATGAACAACAGTTCAGAGGATTCTCTTTCAAGTGCAGTCTTAAAAGGCTTTTGAAGCAGGATGCAGGTAATTAAATCATTGAGACAATTATCTTACCCATTACAAAGATAGCTTCCGCTCTGCATCTAGCTCCCAATCCCCTCTCAGCCTGCTCTGCCTGCATTTTACTGGGTCCACCCAAGTCACCAGCTCTTGGGCCTGCAAGACCGGGGGTGGAACCAGAGCATTCAGAACTATCCCAAATTGTTCCAACAGCTGCTGTGAGGAGCTCAGAGGGTGGGTTGTGATCCCGCATTTGGATCCAAGGGAGAAGTTGCTTTTCCCATTTACTCTCCATGTGCCTTGCACCTTCGAGATAAGGTTGCCAAGACAGTCGGTTCCAGGCATCTGCTGTCAGTTACTGTTGCCTTCAGAGCTTTTTGGGCCCAACTCTTTTGTAAAATTCCTGTGAGTCTCCCTTGCCAGTCTAAAGGAGTAAGACTTAGCATCTTCAAGTTCAAACTGGCCACACAGCAAAATACAACAGATAACCTCAAAAGTGAGGGGTAAGCGCCGTGGCAGCTGCAAAGAGATACACAAGGCAGGTCTAAGATTTGTTGCCTTGTGAAGAGAAAAAAAATAGGTCTGGTTAGACACGTTTCTGCCTTTGGGCAGCATTTTGTAAATAGTCATTTTCACGTCTCCCTTACACGGCCAGCCAGTTTCCCATTCGCGTTGCTCTTTTGCGGAGAAATGGAAAATGCACAAAATCGCAAAAACCAATCAGGAGGAATTATAGGTAGTCACACTATCCAAAACTACTTGACATCCTTTATTAAAACTAACACAGTTTCAAGCAGACAGCATTCCTTGAACTGAGAACACTGCAGGTTTGATGGCATCATCTATCTGCCCCATAGGTATGTGAAAGAATTCTTGTGCGTATTAGTAGAAAGATGCCTACCGATCTACTGTTTCTTGCAGATTGGCCTGCAGGATCAGCAGTAGCTCTTTGAACATTATCCATTTCTGCACATAGACTGGAACTTCCTCTTGGTATTTCTTAGTTTGATTTTCTTCGGGTAATGGAGTGAACATCAGAGGTCCTTCTTCCAGGATGGCCCTGCATAGGAAGTGCAATCTGTCTGTGTCCTCAGCAGAGATATCCTAGAATTGCACAGAGGGGGAGCAAAGGAACAGTTAAGCGTTATCCGGTACTTACAGCAGAAAGTGACACGAAAGGAACAGAAAGCTTTGTGAAGAAGAGAAACTGGCCATCTGTACTGTACTTAACATACCATGAGATATACTAGGTATCATCGGTTTCCCTATTTGCCACGCTTCTTGGGTAAAAACACTTATTTATGGATGTCTGCATTTGAACAAGTTCTTGGCATCTGCTCTCAGCACAGTATCTATGCTTGCTTCCAGGAGCACAGTCTCTTGCTGGAATGCAGAACATTACTGAGAAGCAAGGGGTATTATTATACAGGCTTGGACACTCTAGAGGGAAGTCGCTCAGACTATGCCACCTTAACCTGTGAGCTTTAAGGTTATTGGCACGGACAGACTTAGCGGTCGTCCTGTAGAGAAGCTCACACATGGAAGTGCTGTAATTATCGGTCTCATTCAGGGATGTAAAACCCCATTTAGTTAGTTAACCATTTCACGTTAAGTTTAGCCAGTTAACTGATTAAACTGGGGCGGGTGGGGGCTGTTTCCGTCATGCGTGGGGCTGCCAGCTCCCAGTCTGCATCCATAGTCTAATTTTCTGCAGGGAGACCGGAGCACAGATCACAGCTGGACCTGATGGATCAGCACAATTCTGTCATGGAGTATGAAATGGTATTTCCTTTCAATGATTAAACATGCTCATTTTATTTCTTGTCCCAGCATAACCTACCCATTGCTTCACAGACTCGTCTAGGGAAATAGAGCACAATTTGCAATGGAGATCCTGGACTCATTTTAGTCTGTGGAGAGTAGCTAGGATGCAGACAGATTCATGCACAGCCCCCGCGCTCTGCAGCAGGGAGCTTCCAGGTTCCCAGCCACTGAGCAGGCCTACCAGGCTGGCCGTCTCCCCAGTCTGCAGGAGTTGGGAAGCCCCAGGAGCCAGCTGGCCTGGGAATTTGGAAGCCCGGGGTCCCCAGAACCAGCAGACCCTGAGATACCTAGCAATAGCTGGTATGATTCATATCAGATTAACAGCTGCTATTCCGTAGTGGGCAGCAGTGAGACTGCCGTGATAGATGTCCATTTCATTGAGCAGCTGCTGGAAATCCCAAAAGTACATTTCATTTTGGAATCCATGTGTTTCTGATGTTTCTGCAACAACAAAAATTCCTGTTCCCTGGTTTGCAGGAGATTTCAAAATAATTAAATCTGCTCTACATGAGACTCAGAGAATCTGTCTCTGAAACTTTACAAACACCTCTCAAACTCCATCCTCTTAGTATGTTCTGCTAAGTCCTAAGGGCACGACTCACTCCATTTAACACGGAAAGGTACAATCTGCCTACTCCACTATGCAAATAGGAGTTTGAACATTGTCTTCAACAGTACTAGGATCTCAGCCAGTTGGTGTAAGTAGCCTCAGTCGGTTCTGGATGATGGAAGCTTGAAGCATTTCTGTTGTTACACTGGATCCTAGATAAGCAAGCACCTTATTTATAATGTTTGATCCTTGATACGTAGAGCACCTGGATTCATCCCTTACCTCTAAGGCTGTGACTCTCTTAATAATCTCACTGAGTGCTGCATTCAGTAAGGTCCCCATGGCCTTGCAGCAGACGTTGACTGGAAGCACATCTTGCCATACTTGGCCAAGTCTCGTTAGCTGGTGCAGTACCTGGAAGATAACAACTCCATCTTAGTCAGAAACATAAACAAAGATAGACACTAAAGATGATAGGGCAGTTACAGAGCTACAAAACTAATTTTCCAAAGCAGAGTAAGGAAGCAGATTAAGAAAAAAAATAGTATTTTGGGCTTGGATCTAGAGGTGGTCAAAAACAAACAAACAAACAAAAAAACCACACAGCTATTTTCCATGAAAAAGCTCAGACAAAATGAAAAATAAAAAAAAGAAATAAAATAAAATAAAAATAAAAAGAGGAGTAACGGTAGTTCGGAATAGGAAGCCTAGTCCGAACTCCCTAGTTCGTGCCGCGTGTAGCCGCGCGGCACGGAGTCCGCACTAGTGGACATTTAAAAATGGCGGCGCCCGGCTTTATGTAAATGAAGCCCGGGAAATTCAAATCCCGGGCTTCATTTGCAACTCCGGTTGCCTACATTAACCACCCTAGTTCGAACTAGGGGCTAGTGTAGACAGACCCATAGATGTTAGAGAGACTGTGGATGCCTTGAAAACAGAGCTAGATCTTTTAGCTCCAGCAGAAGAGATTCATGGTCATGTCAAGGCCATTACTTGTAACATCATGCCCCTGCATAGGTCATCCACAGAGATCCCAGGAACCTCACTTGAAGATGCAAATCTACTACTACCAGAGCTTTAAAAAAAAAAAATCTGAGGTGGGTTAACCAAGGCTATAAAAGACTCAGAGATGGTCCAACATTCTCCAGTGAAAAAAGTTCATTGATGGAAAATTCTTATAAATCAAAAAACATTGCCAAAACAGCAAAGAAATTAAAAGAAGTTTCATTTTAGGGGGAAAGGCATTTTGCTGTGGCTGAAGGAGGAAATGACTTTTCAGGTTTTTTTTCCCTATAGAGATCTTCTGATTAACTGAAATGTTTTTGTCCTCTCATTTCATTGATAGTTTAGAAAGCCTTTGTCTTTGTTCAGATTCAGAAAGAAAGAAGTTTAAAAAACATCACAGCATTTGCCACTAAAAAATCCTGATTCCCACATTTACTCAACTAAAGCTATCTGTGGCCCAGATAGAGAGGTCCATATTGAGACGGTAAACTTAGCTTCAAACTACATGTGCATGGTCAAGTACTGTAGAAGGTAAATTAATTTGACTTAATAAATGTGACATATTTGGACACTCAAAATAGGCACACTGGTGCCTAGCAGCAGGGATTTAATAGGGACAGCCATTTTTAGTGGAGTTCCTATATAGATATTTAATAGGGGTATTTGGCTCTTGACTGGGATGTTGGGGAGCGTTCAACCCCCATCTGACATTTAAGTGCAGAGGGAGAATCCATTTCAGCAGTCCAATATGGGATCTGTGTGCCTACCCATTTATTATTTCCTCTGCATGTTTAATTTATTTGTACATACACAATTCAAGTTTTTAAAGTTTGTAATAAATAATAAGTGAAAACATTTCTCTGCTTAGCTCAAGAAAGATGCATTGTATGCGAAATATCATAGATTGTATGGAAACTGACAAGCAAGGTGACAATTTCAGAGCAGTGTTTGTTGATCTTTTATCCTCAGACCAGCAAAAGAGAAAGATGTAACTGCTGCAGTTACAGGCATAAATATATTGATGAACCCAAGGATACGAATTGTAAATGAGCCTCAGACTGAAGCACACACCAGCCACTCAGACAAGGTCAGCAATCAGTGTAATGCTGTTATTGGTTCCATTTGCTGACATTCTCCCCAATTCAAAGCATCACTATAGCTGAGAAACAAGTCACTTCCAGAAGAAACATCTTTTAAATGGACAAAAAGCACTGGCTTCAGCAGTAGGAGCTGCAAAGGTACCAACAGAAAACATTTACTCAGTTCCTAGTCAAGTCATAGAATCATAGAATCATAGAATAATAGGACTGGAAGGGACCTCAAGAGGTCATCGAGTCCAGCCCCCCGCCCTCAAGGCAGGACCAAGCTCCGTCTACACCATCCCTGACAGATGTCTATCTAACCTGTTCTTAAATATCTCCAGAGAGGGAGATTCCACCACCTCCCTTGGCAATTTATTCCAATATTTGACCACCCTGACAGTTAGGAATGTTTTCCTAATGTCCAATCTAAACCTCCCCTGCTGCACTTTAAGCCCATTACTCCTTGTCCTGTCCTCAGAAACCAAGAGAAACAAATTTTCTCCTTCCTCCTTGTGACACCCTTTTAGATATTTGAAAACCACTATCATGTCCCCCCTTAATCTTCGTTTTTCCAAACTAAACAAGCCCAGTTCATGAAGCCTGGCTTCATAGGCTTCTCTAGACCTTTAATCATTCTTGTCGCTCTTCTCTGTACCCTTTCCAATTTCTCCACATCTTTCTTGAAATGTGGCGCCCAGAACTGGACACAGTACTCCAGCTGAGGCCTAACTAGTGCAGAATAGAGCGGCAGAATGACTTCACGAGTTTTGCTTACAACACACCTGTTAATACAACCTAGAATCATATTTGCTTTTTTGGCAACAGCATCACACTGTTGACTCATATTCAACTTGTGGTCCACTATGACCCCTAGATCCCTTTCCGCCATGCTCCTTCCTAGACAGTCGCTTCCCATCTTGTATGTATGGAACTGATTGTTCCTTCCTAAGTGGAGCACTTTGCATTTCTCTTTATTAAACCTCATCCTGTTTACCTCCGACCATTTCTCTAACTTGCTAAGGTCATTTTGAATTATGTCCCTATCCTCCAAAGAAGTCGCAACCCCACCCAGTTTGGTATCATCTGCAAACTTAATAAGAGTACTCTCTATCCCAATATCTACATCATTGATGAAGATATTGAACAGTACGGGTCCCAAAACAGACCCTTGAGGAACTCCACTTGTTATCCCTTTCCAGCAGGATTTAGAACCGTTAACAACAACTCTCTGACTACGGTTATCCAGCCAATTATGCACCCACCTTATCGTGGCCCTATCTAAGTTATATTTGCCTAGTTTATCAATAAGAATATCATGCGAGACCGTATCAAATGCCTTACTAAAGTCTAGGTATATGACATCCACCGCTTCTCCCTTATCCACAAGGCTCGTTATCCTATCAAAGAAAGCTATCAGATTAGTTTGGCATGACTTGTTCTTCACAAACCCATGCTGGCTATTCCCTATCACTTTATTACCTTCCAAGTGTTTGCATATGATTTCCTTAATTACCTGCTCCATTATCTTCCCTGGGACAGACGTTAAACTGACCGGTCTATAATTTCCTGGGTTGTTCTTATTCCCCTTTTTATAGATGGGCACAATATTTGCCCTTTTCCAGTCTTCTGGAATCTCCCCTGTCTGCCATGATTTTTCAAAGATCATAGCTAAAGGCTCAGATACCTCCTCTATCAGCTCCTTGAGTATCCTGGGATGCATTTCATCAGGACCTGGTGACTTGCTGACATCTAACTTTCCTAAGTGATTTTTAACTTGTTCTTTGTGTATCCTATCTTCTAAACTTACCCTCTCTCTGCTTGTATTCACTACGTTAGGCACACCTCCAGACTTCTCGGTGAAGACCGAAACAAAGAAGTCATTGAGCATCTCCGCCATTTCCAAGTTCCCTGTTACTGCTTCTCCCTCCTCGCTAAGCAGTGGGCCTACCCTGTCCTTGGTCTTCCTCTTGCTTTTAATGTATTTATAAAAGGTCTTCTTGTTTCCCTTTAAGTCAAATTGGCTAACACCACACAATAGAGGCTGCCCCTGCCTTTTACTAACAAATATTCATGAGGCATTTGCCAGTCTACTTCATTCATCTTGGAGGATTTATTACTGTGCTTATTGGTGCGTGTTGAGTGCAAATGATAAGATATAGCTGATTTCAACTGGAGCTATTGAAAGTCCTCTAAAAGTCCCATTTATATGTTGCAGAATTGGGCCCTGGAGAACAGAGACATCCCAAACGAGTGAACACTTGAAATTTCTGGCGTAAGTAGCTTGTTGACACAGAGAAAGGCTGGGCCAGGAGAAGGGGCAGAATAGAGTGCTGCTGACACTTGGTAGTTACGTGCCTTGGAGAGAGGGGACGCACCTCCCTGACAGCTCTACACTCATTTCTGGTAGCTGAAAGCTCCCGTGCACAGAGTCAGAGAAAGAATGGCTGGAGCCGAAGAACGAACAGGAGGGAGCTGGGAGAAGAATGGTCAGTACGGTCCAGTATGTTGTTCTAGAACATTATTTTTGGCTGGTGCAGCATACCAGAAAGACTTCCTGCTGGCCAGCCCCAACCCCAGCCCCTCCACCAGCTGCTGCATCTGTGCCCCCAGAGTCCTGGGAGCACTGGAACTGCAGGCAGGTCTGCTCCTTTCCTCACTGCCATGTCTGTGTACATGTGTGGAGGGGAGAGAGCTGGTAGTTCTGTTCCTTTCCCTGTTGGATGGGGCAGTGGGAAAGGGAGCAGAACTGTCAACAGCTCCTGCTGCCCCAACCCCAGCCCCTCCACCAGCTGCTGCATCTGTGCCCCCAGAGTCCTGGGAGCACTGGAACTGCAGGCAGGTCTGCTCCTTTCCTCACTGCCATGTCTGTGTACATGTGTGGAGGGGAGAGAGCTGGTAGTTCTGTTCCTTTCCCTGTTGGATGGGGCAGTGGGAAAGGGAGCAGAACTGTCAACAGCTCCTGCTGCTG